GCACTTTGTGCCTTCTTGGACATTGCAGGGGCGTTTGACAATATACCTCACAAGGTGGTCAAGCGATCTCTTGAAACAAGAGGGGTGAACAATACGATAATCCGCTGGTTTTGGGAAATGCTCTCAACACGAACAGCAGAAGCTGACATAGGTACCAAAACTGTGGTTGTTAAAACAACGCAAGGAACTCCACAAGGTGGAGTGACCTCCCCCCTACTGTGGAGCTTGGTAGTGGATGAACTACTGGAAGAATTAACTCTAGCGGGAATACACTGCATAGGGTATTCGGATGACATAGTCATGATTGCACGGGGGAAACATAAAGGCACCCTGTGTGATATTATCCAAAGAGGACTCCGCATCACTGAGAGATGGTGCAGGACCGTCGGGCTGAGTACCAACTCAGATAAAACCGCGGTAGTGCCATTCACCAGAAAGCGAAGTTTGAAAAACTTGAAAAGAATCCATCTAGATGGAAAGGAGATACTGCCATCACAGGAAGTGAAATATCTAGGAATAACACTGGATAGTAAACTTCTCTGGAACAGGCATATTAAGAACATTACCAGCAAAGCCACAAAGGCATAATATTGTATATATGATATGCAGAAGACTGGCGGGAAATAGGTGGGGCTGCGCCCCAAAAATTTTGCGCTGGATGTATACCATGATAGTAAGACCCATGATTACATATGGAGCAGTTGCTTGGTATACAAAACTAGAGCAACGTACAGCAAGGCAAAACCTGTGCAAAGTACAGAGACTGGCATGTATCTGTATCACAGGTGCCATGAGAACATGTCCAGCAGCAGCAATGGAGGTCATTTTAGACCTAACACCACTGCACATTGTCGTCGGTAGTTATGCCAATGCGACAATGATTAGAATGGTCATAGACGGAAACAGTACTGGGAGAATTTTTAGGTCAGGGGCTTGGAACACCCTCAAAAAGAAAATTCCACTTCTCTCCAACTCCCAGTGGATGACATACCAAGAATTTACAACTTTGAGAAACACCTCACTGTAGTATTGAGTAATAAAAGGATTGGAAGGAAGAAACGCTTACTCAGCATATAAAAGACCATACCATAACGTGGTATACTGATGCTTCCAAAACCAAAGCAGGGACAGGGATAGGAGTATTTGGGCCGAAAACCAAATACTCCGAACCAATGGGCACCTACCCCAGTATCCTTCAGGCAGAAATTTACGCTATCGAAAGATGTGTACAATTTATCTTAGATAGGAACTATCGAAAACAGGAAATTGCCATTCTATCCGATAGTCATGCAGCACTAAACGCGCTCAACTCAGTAACCATCAATTCGAAGTTGGTCAAAGAATGCCTAGAGAAGCTCAACAAGTTGGGCAAAGAAAATAAAGTCCTCCTACTCTGGCTGCCTGCTCACCAAGGGATAGAAGGCAATGAAAAAGCAAATGATCTAGCTAGGAAAGGATACTCCACTAACTGGACCAGAACTGTTCTGTTTTCCAAGCGGAAACCAGCTGAAAGCGGAACTGAAGAATCTGGAAGACTCCAACCGCAACTTGGAATGGGTGTCCTCCAACGGTCTAAGACACTCGAAAAAGTTCCTCAGAACCTACGACCGAGAAAAATCAAAGGTTTTCCTTGATTTAAGTAAAAACAATCTTCGGATTGTCACGAGGTTCCTAACAGGGCACTGTCTCCTCAACGAACACCTCAGTAGGCTGAAGCTGAGTAACAACGGCGAATGCAGATTCTGTGGGGAATATGGGAAAACACCAGAACACCTCATCACTGAGTGCGCCGAGACGACGACCATTCGTGCCATGAACTTTGGTACGGCTGATGTCAAGGATGGAGAGCTGGCCTCTATGGAGCCGTCTCAGATACTGGCTTTTGTTAAAGCCTTGAGACTGTATGATGAGTTATAACTGGTTATAGCTCAAGAAAGGGGAACACACAATAGATCTTTAAGGTCGCAGTGACTAACTCCCCTCCTAAACATTCTACATTCTACAAATAGGTAATCCATTCGACGTCATTCCATACCATTCTCTGAGGTTCTTCAGCCAGGATGTTCGTCTGCTCCGACTACATCCTCCTTGGATTTTTCCTTCCATAATATTCTGGAGCAATTGGTATTTAGAACCTCTTATAATATGTGTAAAATATTCTAATTTTTTCCTCTTAAGGGTTTTATGTATTTCTTCTTCCTTGTTCATACGGCGCTAAACCTCGATATTTGTAACTTTATCGACCCAAGAAATCCGTAACATGCGACGATAACACCACCTTTCTAAAGCCACCAGTCTGTTAATTTCGTCCAAATTTAATTAGACAGGTAATAAAATTTATAAATAAATGTTTTTTTTTGACACAAAACGTTACAAAAGTATTAATTTTTGCGACGTGATAGCAATACAAAAAAGTTATTTTAACGCCTAGGCATAAAAGCAAAGCACTTTATCGCCCAAGCACACAAGTACGAAAATATATTATTAAACTGACATAAAGTCAATGAGTGTCAAGATTCAACGAGTGTAACCATAATTTCTCGATATATAATTACTTACAGCGTATTACTTTCAAATATTTTTATACTATTTAGAACGTTTAAAATTGTTTAAAAAATAGCATGTTCTATTCAGAGTAAAAATGACTTTTTGTCATTAGCGTAACTAGCAATTCATCCGGGGGGGGAGGCTGGTGATGAGGCCGGGGGGGAGGGGCTAGGTCTTTTGTTTTTAAAAAATGAAGAATAATAATTTATCTAACTTCCTTTGACATTAAGTGTCAAACAGTAAGACAATTTATTTCCATCTGTCAGAAAATGAATTATTTGAATTTCCTATATTATAACGACTGCTGCCTTAAAAGTTTAAAAAGTGTATTTATATAAATATATCTCGTATTTTCGTTCTTTAGTGATATCTACTAGTTGATATTTTAATAATATACCGTACGATCGAAAAAAAACAGCGCAAAGTTAGCTTGGAAATGATCGATAATATACTGTCATAGGCTACTGGCAAAGATAATTCTACTACGAAATTCGAATTGTGTTAACTATAATATTCTTTGCTACTGGTTAAAATCAATAAAAATATACGCTTTAAAGCTAAATCTTAAATAACTTAAAAACGATTTATTTTAGGTACAGGAACATGTATAGTCAAAAAGTAGGTAACAAATTTTAAAAACGAAAGTAATGAAAGCCTTTTCACGAGTGAAATAAAAAAAAGTGGATTTCCATTTGAAAAAAAAGTGATTTATGATAATTTTTTAATCGCTCATTTCCATGACAGCTGCGGCCATTATTATATGACATTCGGACAATTTAATTTTTGACATAGATAGCCACATGTCTTCTCTTTATAGTACAGTGGCTGTGGCAATCACTAAATTTGACGTTTAGGCTATATACATATTTTTGTGAGGCAGTTTTTTTCCTCCAAAAATTATAAATATTTTTTTTCTCAAAAACGGTTAACGCTAGGTATAGAGTGTTTAATATCAAAATTCATAAAATTTTACAGAGAATTTAAGTATGTAATAAAAAATGGGGTCACCCATTTAAAATAAAAAAGTTGCTGTCAACTTCCGGTACTTCCAAAAGTGCCGCCATATTGAAAATATTTTTAATCGATACATCTCATTGTGAAACAATGATTTGCACAAAATCTCTTATCTAGATATGTAGTTCTCCAGAAACTTCTAACGCAGGCTCAGCCTGGTACACCCTGTATAAATACTTGAATTTTGTCAACCATTATACATACGTCATTCAATTTTTACAAAATGTGCATTAGAAGTTATTATTTTAATTTTATAAATATTAATACATTATCTAAACAGACCGGGGGCCACATTTAGCTTCGCCGCCCCGGGCCCCCGACAGGCTTAGTCCGCCACTGGCTCAATCTTGGGTTTTATTTCTTGCAATTGTTCGGCAGTTTCATTTATTATTGTGCCCAAGTATTTGTAGTGTTAGACTTTTTCTTTTGGCGTCTATTGATATTGAAGATTGAAGTTAGGGTTGCCATCTGTCCGACTTGGTTATCAAACCGTGTTCCCGTAGATTACTTAAATACCTACAAAATTTTCTAAAAAATATAAATTAACACATTTTTTGAACTCAATAAAAAAAACGTCATTTTTAGTACATCACAAGCAAATAAAAATTAATACGTAGCCAAGAGTCATAATTCAAGATTTCCCTGGGGGGTGCCCAGCAGTACCTAGGGGGGGCCGGCACCCCCGGGCACCCCTGTAGTTACGCCAGTGCTTTTTGTCTTCGTCTATAATGTCGTCCAACGTACAGCCTCGCCACAAAAATCATCATTTTTACTCCTAATAAAACAATATACTATTATCTGTCTAATAGACAACATTATTTTTAACAATTTTGATCTTATAAAGAGGTTTTCAACATTTTAAAGTAGCGAATTATAATCGGCGATTCGGAATCAACAACTTACCCCCCCCCCCCCCGGTCCTTTTTTATAGCCCAATGTCATTTTTTAACTTTGCAAAAAGGTGGCAAGTGGCAACCCTAATTGAAGTATTTACACTTTGGTCTTTTGTAATAAATATGAATTTGTTTTCTTCAAATTCATATTCAGCCCATATTGTTTGCAGGAAAGATTTATTCTCTGCAGTAGGTCCTGCAATACACTCAAATGTTTATCTATGAGTGATTTTGATGTCCACGCATACTTTATAGTAAATCTGAGTTGAGGCAACGGGTCAAAGAGTAAAGACTGTCCTGCCAAAACCGCCCCGTCCATAAATAGACGATAATAATAGTAAAAGCCCTGCAAGTGAAAGCAAGAGCGACGAAAGCTGGCTGCACACCCCCTCTTCTGCAGCTTCGGGGTGCATCGCCGTCGCCGGTTCCTCCGCTCCGGTCAGGGCCTCCGAGAGTGAAACCGGCGCACGTCGCGGCGCCGCCGAAACCGAAAGTGACCCTCCTCCCTAGGCCCCACCGCTTTCGCTTTCCCGACGGCCACGCGGATTCACGCACGCCAGTAGGCTTCGCAAAGGTTTGGGTGAGAGACGCGCGTATCGACATTTCCTATCGCGACGCTCGTGGCAAGCTCCTTGTGCATCGCGCCCACGCTGATGGCCCCGCGCCGAGCCCACGGGATGGACGTCGTCGGTTTCGAAGGTGGTTCGGGCTACACCAGGTGCTGTGTGCCTTCGGGCGACTGTCTCCGGGCCCAGCAACAATTCGGCACCAATCCCGGCGAGGACCCGATGGCCATAGCCCTAGACGACCTCCGCGATACCGTCAGGGTTAGTAGAGAAATGATCAAGTTCAAGGTCGACGACCAAGCTTTTCTTTTCCTGCCGGTGCTTTCTAGAATTTTTGTACGGCTTTTCGGGCATTTTTTATGTATCTCTAAGCAAGTCCAGCTCATATCGAACAAATTCTTAAAACTTGCAGATTTTGATTGTTACTAATTAATTTCAATATTCATCAAATGATAAATAATGATTGTGTTAATACTAATATCCGAAGAAAAGTGGAATTTATACAAAATTTCAAAGTTTACCGAATTTTGATAAGCCTGAAATCTTATTGTTATTTGGACTAAGTAATTTGCTATATTAATTTACACAATACCTACATATAAACTATTTAAAAAAAATTAAGTTCATCGATAAGTTTGCATAATATTGCATGATATTGTCTAGTTAATGCATAAAAAATAATAGGACATTTTCTATCTGCGTTTAGAATTTACCTCATACTGTCAGAAATGTTTCATTTGATAAAAGCCGGCATAAATTGATGATTAAACCTATTCTTAAACATTTAGAAATGTAATAAAAACAATAATAAGATAAAATTCAGATAAAGAAGAAGTCCGAACTATTTTTTTTGGAAAAGAGAAGTTTCGTTATTTTTTATAATTTTTTTTTAATTAATTGTAGATTTGATTATCTAGATTGTAACTGCATTATTTACACAACGATTATTTTTAACACAAAAAATAACGTTTGTATTTCAGACTTTGAATAAAACTATAAATAATCCTTTAGGAAAAAAGATCTATAGGTATAATAATACGTAAAATAATTAAATTTAATAATAATTAATTTACCTACTATTCATAATTTACAGATTATATATAACATACTAGTCTGTTTAAAAATGTTTAGGTCAATCAATAGGATTGCATGATGTTGCATTTTATTTTTGTTAATATTTAATAAAATAACGTATGATCGAAAAAAACGGCGCCCAGTTGGCTTGGAAATGAATATCGATGACATTTCCCATATAATTTTAGCCATCGCTGACAGCGTTTTTTTTTCGATCAAATTGTACCTACTAGGGCATCACATTTTATCTCCCTCATGCAGTTAACCTCATAGAGCCAGAAATGTTTCATTTACCCAAAGCCGGTATGCACGTGCGTGTAAAGTAAAAAAATAATACTGGATAATAAATAAATAATAAGAGAAATTGGAAACATTTCTGGGGAAAAATTGTAGGTTGTAATGTGTAAATTCAAACTTAAGAAAAATAAAATATCTCAGTTGTTCTTTGTAATAAAATAAAGGCCATGTGAAATTAGCAGCTTAGTTTACAATTTGAATTTTTGGAGAGTTTTTGTGTGTTTTCATATTTGTTTACTATAGGGATTTATAAAATTGGACCTCATATAAAAAGAAATTTAATAAACAGCTAAATAAATATAAGTTACTAAATAAATACTATTAATACTATTATTTGTAGTACATATTTATAAGTAATATTAATAGCGTCGAGTACAGTGTATAATAATAGAATTTAACAAGGAATGTTTTTAATATAAAATAGTAATAGACGATTCATATATTATTATATAGGTACCTAAAAAAAATTCAATACATTCTAAAATCAATTATTCAAAAATACCCTGGATAATTAACATTTTTAGAAAATGTTATAAATTAATAGAAAATTTCTCTATTTCTTAAAAATTTGATGCGTATTAAACAATAAATAATAAATAAAGCTAAATTAAAATTCGATTAAATTAAATGCTAATTTAATTGAATCAATTAAATCAATAAAATTCAATTACAAATGATCAATTCGAACTGAGTTAAACAATTTAAATGAAAATCCATATCATTCGAAATTATAAAAAGACTTAAAAAATACTATTTGTGACGATAAAGAGTGTAAAAAAATATTCCTATAGCCTTCATTGAATTTCATACATATTATGCTCGATATTATGTAGGTATAAAATTACAGTTCATAAAATATGACGATTACAAATAATTACAAGTAAAGCTTCTTTTATTAATTAATGAATCAAAAAACATTATTTTTCTTTTTGTTCCTATTTTTTTGTTTCTAAAATAGTGTTGATGTTGTACTCAGTTTGTTGAATACAATCACAATACAATGAAAAATAGTATCTAATACCGAAAAGAAAATCAAAATAATTTAAGTATTTTTATTTTTTATCAGTTATTGAGGCTACTATAATATAATAAATATCTGTATATTTTATATATTTTTGACTTATATGATTTGGTATTACTACAGTACCTATGTCTGTGCCTATGTCCCGAATCGTGTTTATAAAAGGAAAAATATTTTTTTCATAAAAATTTTGCTTCTTCTAAAATGCATCCTTTTAGAGAAAAAAAATGAAAATGAGGTTGAATTTCTTTCTAATTAAAAATCCTAAAAATCAAATCACGTTTCTATGGCAATATTATTTCGTTTTCATTCTTGGATAGATGGTCATGATATTTGTTGTTGAAAGTTTTACCCTTTCCGATAACTAGTATCACATTCTTTAACTTTATAAAACAGCAAAAAATATAACGTTAATCAAAATTAACAATAACCGTTTATCAAAGAGAATGAAAACGAAACATTACCACAGAAATGCCTTTTGATTTTTGGGACTTAAAAAAAATTAACCATATTTTCATTTTTTTAAACGGTATGGAAACGTATTAATGTTGTTTCTCACTATACGTTCCGTATCCGCTAGTTTCCGTTTCCTTGCCGTTTACGTAAAATTTTATATCACGCAAATGATCAGGACAATACGCACTATCCGTTCCTCCGTTCAGTGGCTCATTAGCATATTATGCTAATGAGCCACCCTCGTTCCATTTGAAAAAATTGAGATATGATTAAAAATACGATTTGGGCATCTTTTAACCGGCGAGGACAAGACACGAAAAACATTAGACGATCAAATCTATTTTTCCAAGGCTCCTTGATTAAAAAATAGTGTTTTTAACACAGCCATGGCACTCTAGATTGATATTTAAAATTCAATTTTGTTTTAAGTAAAAATGTCAAAGATTTATATGTGATATATCATTCGATTCAAAATGTCATTTTCTATCGAATAAAGTAAAAAATACCTAGGATGCCATTTAGAAATCAAAAGTTGTAGTCATTTCCGGTGAAACAGGAAGTGACAGAAAATAACTGAATACGTCAATCAATCCTAATTTATGTCATATATCAACATACCAAATCTCGTTTTTTATCTGATAAAATAAAAAAGTTATAGGGATGAGCCACTTTTGAGACGCACCCGGTAGTGAGAACCTTTAACGAGATTAATAATTTTTGAGAAAGCAATTTTTTTTATAAAGAATGCATTTTTCTCAAAATGATAATTATAAAAAAGTATTTCCTCAGGTACAGAAAATCCGGGGACATACTGTATAATAATTATTTAAGTTATTACAACAATTAATTTTAATTTGACATATTAATTGTGTCTCATTAAGACTATGCGCGATAGGCAATTTTCAGTCGGCCGACTAATTAGTTGCAGATTTGTAATGAATACTTACTTATATTCTTATGGAGCCGCACTCGCATGCAATCAAATACTCGGCCGCTCGTCTCCATAAGAATGTATTGTCTTTACTTTTGCAACTATATAGTCGGCCGACGAAAAATTGCATGTTAGCGGGCGCGCAATTATGTTAGGTTTTTTGTTTTAGTTGATTAAGGTATTTATAAAAGTTTTTCTTATTCGAGCTTGAGTCGGTGAATGTAACAAATGTAAACGTAGTGGTTGTTTACACAATAGTATATTATTTTATTAGGAGTAAAAATGATACATGAGGCTGTATGTTCATTTTTACTCCGAATAGAACATGCTATTCTTTTCAAACGTCCAAATAATTTTTTAAACAATTTTAATCGTTTCCAAATAATATAAAATGATTTAAAATAAATATATTTTAAGTAATTATACATACACGGAGAAACTATGGTTACTCTTTGGTTACTTTCGTTGAATTTGACACTTTATGTCAGTTTAATAATATATTTTCGTACTTTTATGCTTAGGCGCAAAAGTGCTTTACTTTTATGCCTAGGCGTTAAAATAACTTTTTTATATTGTCAATCACCAAATCACGACGCAAAAAATAATACTCTATTCTTAAAAGATGCAGAAATATATTTGTCCGGAAGGCATAGTATTTCCGAAGACAATTGGAAGTACTGAGATTCTTAATTCCTGAGTGCCGACCGACGATGCCGACAAAGGTGCCGATAATGACAGTGCCGAAATTAAGAGTCCCAATCTATTCTAACTGACTTCAGATAAAAATTACTTAAAGTATATAGAAAAAAATGGTAGATATTGGAAAGGCTTAAAGGAAACAATTATATTTTGTGTAATATGTAACGTTTCGCGACAATAAAGGCTTCTTCATTCACTAACACTAAATGACAACTTCAGACAATAAAGTCGCGACATGTCTCACATAATACAATAATTACCAAACCAACCCACGAATTTACTATATACTAATTACTGGGAACAATGTAATAATAATAATTGAATTACTTAAAGTGTATTTAATTTTCCAGGTAACATGCAATAATGAACTTTGCACGGCGGGAAGATATATGCATCGCGAGTGTTTCGAACAGTGGGAACAAACAGTTTTGGCCTACCTTAAGACATGCGGTCGCGCAAGATCTTGGTCTGAAAGGCAACGCCATCAAAACTTGTGGACCAAAAAAGGCTATGATCTCGCTTATAAAGCTTGTGGTTGCAAGTAAGTATTAAGAAAACATTAATATGCTCAATTATTATTATTATTTACTAAACAGCAGGGTCTAAAGATTTAAATCGGCGGATTTTTTTAAATTTTAGTCATGGATTTAAATCTATAATAAATCTAAAAATAACTGTAAAAGTTGTAAAAAGTTTTCTATAAAAAAACTATTCCTATAACAAATGTATCCAAATTCACCAAATAAAAAGTTACACTTGCTGTTGTAACTTTTAAATACGTATAATTTAATAAATTGAAAAATTATTGTAAAAGATATTTTTTTATTCATTACCTGTTGGGCCGATTTTTGAAGTAATTTCGTATAGATCCAATTAGACTTTTACATGGCAGATATTTATTTTGAAATGGTGAATTAACAGAAATCCGGTATTCGAATACATTTTAGTCTCAAACTCTAGTGTAGAACTAGTTTCTTTTGATAGGTTATATTTTTATTCCAGAATATCTGGAATCATTGTCAAAATATATGTTGGTGTCAAGGCTATTTTATATCTTTTTTGAAACAACTGTATGTTGATCAAGCTAACTCTTTTGCCTTCTCCAATTTATCTTTTAGTTCTTTCCAAATTTCTACCGCATAATTTCTACCAACATTTTGCTCTGCGATAAATACTTTGGACTTTGAACATTAGATGGTACTAATTTTATTCTCCCCAGTTTAAGACAGTCATTACTATTTCTAAACAAAATCCCTTGATCCAACCTGGTGATTCTTTTAGTGGAAATAGACGCATATTGTAAAGTTAACAGTATTAAATAATATATCGGTGGCCGAATCGGTAACCGTCATGCGTCGTGCCCGGCGTGGAAATGTTAATATTATCGATATCGGGCAGAGTTACGAACAGGGTGCAGAAAAATGATGATTAAAAAAAATAAAAAATCGTTTTTTTTATTTTAATAAGAAAAATTTTAATTTTATTCGTATTTTTTTTTATTTTACTCAATTTTCTATTTAAATTCCGATCCTAAATGGCTAAATCATTGTAACTCTACCGTATATTGACAATATTAACATTTTTTCGGCGCGTGTCGTTTTTCCACATCGGTCACCGATATATTTTATTCTGTAAACTTTGCCGATACCCCGATTTCTACAAAAAAATCGGCCGTTTAGATCAAAGGGATTTTTTTGGAAATAGTCATGACTGTCTTAAGTCGACAATAAAATTAGTACCATCTAATGTTCAAAGTGCATAGTACTTATTGCAGAATAAAATGTCGGCAGAAATTTGGAATGAACTAGAACACAAATTAGGGAAGGCGGAAGTTAGCTTGATCAATATTCAGCTGTTTCAAAAAGGTATAAAACAGCCTTGATTTCAGCTTATCTTTTGACATTGATTACTCCTCGGGAATAAAAATATAATAGTCTAAAAGCCAGTGAAAGGCTACTTGTATGTATTTGACCAGACCTAGGGTTTTGTACAATGAAGCCCCTATACTTACTGTACATGACATAGGGACTCACTAAGCCCAACGTGGCGGACGCGGCCGGCGCCAAGGTAAAAAAGGTATCGATTTTTGGTAAATTTTAAATGTTTTTGACCACGTCTGCCGTTTTGCAATTTGAAAATATATTATTATTATTATCGGAAAACAACAATGGCAGACCATTATCGCGCGTTTAACATTGTGGTACACAGTTTTGAAAGTGCCGAAAAAAAAATTTCGAAAGTAATTGACCAGATCGGTCATTAATATATTTTATTTATTAGGGTCTTATAAATTTATGTTAATCACGGCAGATGCCTTTATTGAGTACATACTTCAGCAGACAACAAAATCTGTACTGCTCTCCGATCAGATGTATGTTTATGACGTTCCCTGTTTCACATCAATATGATTTATTCTATCACTGTATTTATAGAAATTAATATTTAATTTTGTCCACAAGAAGCTCTTAGAAGTTGATGGTAAAGTTCACTCTAACAAGGTGGTATTGAGCTTGCATCAAAATTAAGTATTTTTTTTGCTGAAGTTTTAATTGACGTCGGAAGCTTTATAACTGCTGTCAAAAAAAGTTGGTACCTTCGATCATCAACGTCAATTGATTTTTTTGCATTATAAAGCTGGCAAATAAATTTCTGAATGCTGTTAATACCTGTTGTAACTGGTCCTCTGTGAAATTCAACATTTTTTTCAGTAACGTAAAAGATATTTTCTTCCCTTTATTAAAGAAAGACGGATTCAAATCACATTCTGTGAACGCATGGGAGCCCATTAAATTTTGGTTAACAATTTACCATAAAGGATTTTTTTGGAAAAATTCACCACGCTCTTTATAAATTTTTGTGACGTCAATATACCTTACGTTATTTCCATTTCCACTGAGCATCCAAATATTCGAATGAGAATTTTGTAAATGTGTTATACTTATTACCAATCATTATAATTAAGTTATAAGTTTATGCATACATCTGACCGGATAGTAGTTTAGATTTTGTTGTGTGCTGAAGTGTGTACTCAATAAAGACATCTGCCGTGATTAACATAAGTTTATAAGACCCTAATAAATAAAATATATCAATGGCAGATCTGGTCAATTACTTACTTTGAAAATTTTTTTTCAGCACTTTTAAAACTGTCTGCCACAATGATAAACGCGCGATAATGGTCTGCCATAATTGTTTTCCGATAATAATAATAATATATTTTCAAATTGCAAAACGGCAGACGTGGCCAAAAACATTTAAAATTTATCAAAAATCGATTCCTTCTTTACCTTGGCGTCCGCCGCGTCCGCCACGTTGAACTTAGTGAGTCCCCATGTCATGTACAGTAAGTATAGGGACTTCACTGTACAAAACCCTAGGTCTGGTCAAATACATACAGGTAGTTTTTCACTGGCTCTTAGACTATAAGCTGACATCAGAAGAACCTAGTTGTGCATTAGAGTTTGCGAATGAAATGTATTCAAATACTGGATTTCTGGCACTTCACAATTCAAAATAAATCTCTACCATTTGGAAGAGTAATCGATTCATACGAAATAACAAAAATCGGTCCAACATTCTAATAGATGAATAGATATTAGGTAGGTATATGGGTTATATGTTAGATCTTTTACAATTATTTTTCGATCTATTTCGAAGTATTTAAACGTTACAACAGCAAGTGTATAGTATTTCCGAAGTCAATTGGAAGTACCTAGTACCTACTGAGACTCTAATTCTTTTATCCCGACGATGCCGACAAAAACGCCGCCTACTAACTTCAGATAAACTATAACATTGTACTTATTTGATGAGATTTTTATAGCTTTATAGGAAAAGTTAAGTAATTTTTACAGTTTTTACATTTTTCCATTTATCATTCAAGTTTTTAACCAAGTTGATTTTTTTGATTTAAATCCATGATTAAAATAAAAAAGTCCGTTGATTTAAATCATTGTACCATGGACGAAGAATTTGCCATTCTGGTTTTTCTGCTATTTTCCTAATATTATGGTCCCATCTCAGGCTCTATACTGTAATTTTTGTGCTCCATCTATTGTCCGTTCTTCTTGCCAGGTGTCCTATCCATTGCCATTTTAAGCCCTGAGTCTTTTGTCGTATCCACTCTATTCGTTTGCGGTCTCTCTTCGTTATTTCCAGCATATTTCCAGCGTTCCATTGAGCGTTGTGCGACCTGCAGTTTCCTCACGAAGTCCGTTTTAAGTGTCCAGGTTTCGCATGCATAGGTCATGACTGGTAGTACACATTGGACGAATATTTTCTTCTTTAGGTAGAGTGGTATTATAGATTTGAATATGACGGAGTTTCTGCCATAAGTACTCCTCCATGTTAACTTAATTCTTCTTTTGATTTCTGGTAGTAGAGATCCCGAGCTGTGTATTAGTTATCCAAATATATATATTCTTCCACTACTTCCAGTATTGTATTATATATTTGAATGTCCCTTCCCTCCACTAGTTCGTTGTACATTACATTAGTTTTTGCTAAATTCATTTTGAGACCCACTTTATTGCTGGCCGTATTTAGTTCATTAATTTGTGCTGGCAGTTTTTCAGGACTATTGGCACTTAGGACTATGTCATCAGCGAATCTTAGATGGTTAAAATATTCTCCATCTATTTTTAATCCTTTGTTGGTTCAGTCCAGTTGACCGAAGATTTCTTCTAACGTTGCTGTAAACAGCTTTGGAGATATCGTATCTCCCTGTCGTACTCCTTTACCAATTGGAAACTCTAGGGTTGTTTTACATATCATTACTCTTGGTTTGGCTTTTTTGTATATGTTGGCGAGAGTTTTTATATAAGGCCTATCAATACCTTGTTTCGCTAGGGCTTCTATTATTGCCTTAGGATATATCGATTAGAAAGCCTTCTCAACGTCTATAAAGTCTATAAAAATAGAATATATCGAAAATATTATTATAGTTTTGTTGTTTCTAAATTATTACAAATCATATTATTTTCTCTGTTTCGTAGGTGTGGACGTGGACATCTTAAAAAAGATCTCGATTGGATGCCTCCTCCGCCGACCTCTAATATATTCGGTCGCATCGAGGAAATGGACGGCCTAAATTCCAAAAAGAAAAAGAGACGCAATCGCAACTCAAAGCCTTCGTTAACAATAGCTTCGGTTGGTCCTCTTATCGACAGCAGAACTAGAACCGGAAGCCTCTCATGCTCAAGCTCTGGCAGCAGTTCGCCGCCTGCTTCGTCATCTGAACCCAGCGTATCCCCAGTCCACGGTTCCCATTTAAAGAAAAAGAGCAAGATTGATTTCCCGGAAAGAATTCGGTAAGTTTCTGAATTACGAATTTTGTAAACCGAATTACGAATTTTGTTTTGTGATTAGCATGTAAAAGTTGTTTGCGAGACCACCTAGTTGAGTTAGTTAACAATAATAATTAAAGTACTAGTTATTTCGAAATGCTGCTGAGAAATTGCTGGCCGCATATGGCTGGATCTGCTGGAGTTGATGCAGGTGTTGAACCAATAACACCTAAATATAGTAGACCTAGCATTTTATAAATAATTAAAAAAAAAACTGAATAATACATTCGTTTCTTGTTCTATGTAAGTGGGAAAAAGACGGGCTGATATGAAGGATTTCGGGAGAAAATGGCAACGCTGCAACAGATATTCAAAATGTGAACTTCCGGCATAGCTACTTCTATTATAATTATAATTTTGTATTCAATTTGCGTAAATACGATTTTTGGATGCGATATATTGTTGTATTCGATGGGATGGATTTTAATTACTAACTCTTGTTTTTTATTAAAAAAAAAATATCTTACTGATCATAACCAAATTCACAAAATTAATCAAAAACTAAACGTCAATGAAATTTTAAATGTATACCTATCTCAGATAAGGTTTTATGTAGTTTTATCTATCTTTTGTTTTTCCTACTTATATAGCCAGCAAAATATGTTGGACGGAAACAACTCCCGACAGCGAATGTGCCTGAGATGATAATTTTATAGCGGTTAGAAAAAAAATGTACTAGAAAAAAAATCCTAGAATTAAATCGAGAGTTAAATGTAAAATTTCAGAACGGCATCTTCTCTTCTGTAATATTGATGATATAAAGAAGATATATAAAGATGTATTAAATTATTTATTTAAGTAAAATTTCATTACGCGTGCTGGGAGTAAATATTCAAGGCCGTGACACACGACCTAGCGTCACGACACGCGTCACGGAAAGTGGTAACGTTCGATAAAGTGGTAAACCAATGAGGGAGTTTGAAGCGTCGCGTCGTAACTCGGGCCCTATGTGAGCTAGGGGGCTGAAACTTGGAATGTAGATAGACATCTTTTCATGATATTTTGACGACGTTTCGTGCACTATGAAACTTCATGAAATGACCTCATCATTTGGCTAACTTGACCGATACGTGTCACTGTGAAAGTTAGTGTTTACATCGGTTTTGACGTAAGAAACGTCAAAAGTTAATGTCGTCCGACCAAACTTGGTGGGTAGGCTATGTGAGCGACGGTGCACACTGTCCCACCTTCAAAGTTGGATACAATGTTTCGTTTACATCTTCATCAGGGTGGGACTAATGATTTGATATTGAAGAAAAATGTAGGTCAATTTCGGCATAATTGGGGACGGGCTACTACGGGCTATTTCGAACCGTTGCCTCTACATGGACGAAATTATCAGGATTTTTGGGCATGTGGATAGAGATGAGAACGGACTCCTCAGACGGACAGACGTTCATTTTAATATAAATTTTGTAAAACCGAATCAGAGTAGTTATTAATTTTTAATTTATTTCTTTTTCAAACTACACTTTTTCAGACTTGTCCTTCAAATCCTTCAATTAAATAGCTGTTAGTAAGAAGTTTCGCTTCAAATATGCGCACATAGTGCACACAAATCTTTTTTATTTAAGGTACATTCAGGCTGAGAGCGTCGAGCGTCGCGTCGCGTTTGCGTCGCGCCCGCGTGTCGAAATGGAATCAATTCACTTAACTTAAATTACCGTTCACCTTCACCGTTCAGACAGACAGCGTCGCGTTTGGCGTTACGCTGGCGTCCGCAATGGGGCGGACGCGACGCAAACGCGATGCGACGCTCGACGCTCTCAGCCTGAATGTACCTTTATAAATAACACATTGTTGATTTCATGTGGTATAGTAGATAGAAACCGAGGTAGAAACTTCTGGCCGTATTAGGACCACTAGAAAGATTTGATTAGTTTCATTAGAATGGTAAAGAAATATTTTTTTAACATAGTCATAGATTGTATTTATTATTTTAAATATCAAATATGACAAAAATTATTTTTATTCCGCAGCTATACCATTCTTTGTCATAGTCGGAGATAACATATTGTATTTTAAACAACTATTTTTCATGAAATCTATCTCCACGAATTTAGCAACTACGAGGTAGAAAAGTTTGGAGTTTTTCAATTTTCATCTTGTCCGGTAAATACACTATTTATAATTTGTAATTTTATCAAAAAATATCCCATTAATCATAATTAGTGCACAAAATTAATCAATAGTTCACAAAATTAATCAATGAATAAACGTTAATGAAATTTCGAGTTATATTTTACATGTGTACTATATCAGATAAATTTTATGTAGTTTTCTTTGCAAAATAGTACACTAATTCACTACAATACACCAAAACTCCAAAACACTTTACTGTTGAACACAGGACACGCATTTCGCTGTCCATGTGAACATCATCAGCAGATGATAAAACCTGAACTTAGTTACTTTAACATGGTTAACGAAATGCGCGTCCAGTGTTTAAAAGTCAAGTGTTTAGGTGTATTGTGGTGAATTGATCGTTTAGTTTGCTGTTGTAACACCAAATTTTCCAACTCCGAACTGTAATATTTTCTCTATCTTTTATTTTTCCTATTTGGCCAGCAAAACATGTGGTACGGAAACAACTTCTCAAAGCGAATGTGTCTGAGATGATAATTTTATAGCGGTTAAATATATTATTCGGAATTAGAAAAAAAAATTCTAGAGTTAAATGTAAAATTTCAAAGCGGCTGGAATAAACATATACAAAGAAATATTAAATTACTTATTATTTGATTGTAAATAACATATTTAATAACAGAACTAGATTAATAAAAATATGAATTTGAAAGAAAATAGCAATCAATATCATAGCTATTATATTCCAGTGTCATATTAAATTGATGTTATATACCGATACTAGGAATACATTTATTCTGGGTGTATTCCTTAGACTAAAACTTCTAGACGGAGCAAGTCATTCATAAATCTACTACAACCATGTTCCACTTAGCCTGCTTAGAATGGAATCACGGAGGTTAAAATATCAATGAAAAGCCTTGAGTGGGGATAAGAACTTGGGACAGCAAATTTGGCGCGGCGATACTGGCCGGACTAATCCAATGGCGTACTAGTTTTCGCAATTTCCGAAATATGAATTTAATTAAATTAATATAAAATTAAAATCGATCTTTAAAAAACTGTGTTAGCTAGTATAAATCTAAAAATCTTATTTTTATTTTGATTTACATTTATACAAGACGCCTTAAATTTAATAGCATAGCATTTTAAAATGTCTTTATTTTATTAATTACCGATTTAACATAACATTTTTTTTTCAAATTACGACCATATTAGTTATAATTTTCAAGCTATGTATAAAACTCCGATTTATATATCAATTTAATTTTTATGTATATTTACTAACAGGTGCATTTTTTATTTAATGCTTTATAAAATATTTTTTCATTATTTTATAATCCTAAAACTTTGAAACCAAATTAAAAATAAATTTAAATATCTTTTATGCATGATTTAAATCATGTTCAGTGAATCTTGATTAGCACATACCTTGTGTTTTTCAGAAGTGATTCGCTCCTATAACTTTTGATTTTTTCCAAATAAAAAAATGAAATTTTGTATGTTACTAAATGACATAAATCGGGATTGATTGTTTTCAATTACTTGTTTCACCGGAAATGATTTAAACTTTTGAATTTTAAATGGTGCCCTAGGAAATTTTTTTCACTTTATTTGATAAAAAAATACATTATGACCATGGCATTCTAGAATGAAATTTAAAAAATACCAATAAAAAACAACTAAGTACAATATAAACAAACAGGTTTAACTTTGACAATCGACAGTAATTTTAAAATAAGTTTTTACAAATTAATTGAAGGGTTGTTTTTTACCCTAACTTTAAAACACCCTGTGCAATAATTTCGAGAGCAAATTTTCCTAAAACATTATTTTTTAGTGAGAACCCCCATCCTGAATATCATCAGTTATGTTAACACAGGCCTTGGTTAATTTTTAAGAGCAAAATGAACTGGCCACAAACATTTTGCAATGTTTTCGATTATTATCGTTACTTTTTAATGTTATTCGTCACTCATCTACCCGAAGCCCCATCTCGGGATATTAAAATATAACATCACATGCAAATTGTTGGTGGCAATTTCATTTCGCTCTTAAAAATGAACCAAGACATGTGTTGACATGAGTTAAAAACAAAATGCTCAGGAGACATGGTTCTGATCGAAAAATACTATTTTACGAAAAGTCACTCACTAAATTATTGCACAGGATGTTTTAAAGTTAGCGTAAAAAACAGCCGTACAATTAACCCTGTATAATAAACCAAATACTGAAGTTTATAAAAAACTGAATTTATTAATTAAAGTTGATATATAAAGTTTGCCAAAAAAATCATTAAAATAGGGCTAAAAGTAAAAGAAATATCACATTAAACTTGACGAAAAAATTATCCGTTGGGTTTTTATTACATCTGAGTGTATATTAAAAATATATTTAAAAATACATAAACAGACACATACATAAAATATAAAATATAGGAATTATTAATATATTCGACTATAAGATGGGTATTCACTTTGTAGGAGCGAAAAAAAACGGGAATCCATGACATTTATCATTAATTGTTTTTGATCAGAAATTTTGAAGGCAACACTGACGCCTTTTTTTGCGATCATACGATTTTTACGGGAGCATTGCATTAGGCAACATAACAAAGAACAAAATGTAGGTATTTCCAATTTACAGATGATTTACACAGGGCCTACCTAAAGTACCTTTTTTTTGTCTAACTAAACGTTTTATGATGCAATCTTCCTATGAAATTTCTCATGTAAATAACCATCAAGTTTAAAATAATTTATATTTTATATAGTATATAATTACTAAGTTCCAATGTGGTTAAATAATAATTTCTTTAATTCATCAATCTTGATTTAAAATGAAATGTAACGCTACTGTTTCGAAAGAATCACGTATTT